GTGTGTGATACAGAAAAGGGGAAGAATATACTTTCCTAATCAAGAGCCCGAAGTTGCCCATCCCCTCGTGGGTAAATGACCAACCCAACGGGGTGACCCGAAGCAGGGCCACTGAAGCCCAAAAGCCTGGTGCATGGCTAAGACCCCTCCTGGTGGGGACCCATAGGAAAGGAGCAGAAAGGGCCAGGCAAGTTTGGAAGGTAAAGAGCAAAAGCAAAATCAAGATAAAAGCTGCCACTGTCACCTCCCCTCTGGTCTCTCACCCACGTCTGTTCCAACCAGTCCAGGACTAAGATGCAAGCGCAGCTTCTTCACAAGTCTCTGCTCCCTGTGCCTCCTCCAGGCTCCTCCTGCTTCCTGTCCTCTCCCTTCCTCAGGCTCCTCTCCAGCTTCTCCTCCTCTCTGCTCAGCCCCACCCTCCCTTGGGTGGGGCAAGGAAACTGGAACCTCCCCTTTCTCTGGGGACCCCCTGTTACAATCCCAAGGACCCATGCCCTGAACCCAGCACTTCTCCAAACCAGCATCAGACCTGTAAGCATACCCTCAGGAATCTGAGTGGGGAATCTTCATCAATCTAGTGATGAAGTCGGTTTTGAGGATGTTGGGTTTGGAGAGTGGATTCCTTGGTTAAGTTAACTCTGGGAAAAGTTGCCCCAGAGTTCCCCTTTCAGCTGTACTGGCAAATTTCTCCATGACACAGAGATGATAGTTGTATCCAAAAGGGAAGATTGTTGGGCCTCCCTCCCTGCTGGCACAAGAGGTTAAGCATCAGCACTATGAAGCAATCTGCAGCTACTATAGCACGAGTTCAATCCCCAGCCAGGGAGCTACCCACCTGGTGCAGCAGACCTCTCCTGTCTCCCCGCTGCTCCCCTCAGCAGGGGATTTCAGTCAATCTGCCTATTCTGCTCCCCACTCTGTCTCTGGTGAATCCTCTCAGCGTCTTCTGTCCTCTGAATCCTCTCGGGTTCCCCTGCCACCTTTGGCCTGTACCCAAGTTCTTGTATGCATAAATAAATAAATCTTAAAAAAATAAAAAAGGGGTAGGTTAGGGCCTCCCTAGTGGCACTATCAAGCTATTGGCAGACACTACAGCAGGAGTTCAATCAGGCCAGGGAGGTGACCCACATGGCCAACAGACCTCTCCTGCCTGCCTGCTGCTTCCCTCAGCCGTGTATTTCAGCAGATCTGCCTGTTCTGCTGCCCATTCTTTCTGGTGAATCCTCTCACGCCCTACACCTCTGGCTTACACCCCAGTTCTTGTATGCATAAATAAATCTTTTTTAAAAGGGGGAGCAGGTTTATTATAAAGGGAGTGAGAACAAAGGAGACCGCACACACTCAGCAGGCAGAAAAGGCTGTCCTGAAAGGGACCTATGTGCTGAGAGAGGCCTGCTTGGTCCCAGCTGCAGCCTGGGGAGGAGCTGCCTCTGCTGAGGGGCATCAGTGAGGAGAAGCCCAGCAAGGCCACAGTCCTGGGGGGCAGGAGGCGCTGCCCTGCAGAGGGAGAGAGTAGGTAAAAAGAAGCATAGACACAGGAGGGCAGGCCCCATGCCAGTGTTGTAGAAATAGATTCTACTTTTTACCCAGACAGAGGAAGAACAAGCGGTACATCAGGAATGATGAGGTCAGGAAAAGCTTTATTTCTCATGCATGAGGTCCAAGACCTGGGTAGCCCTGTAAGGTCTGAGCACCTATTTAAAGACCAAGAGTTTCTTTTATACACAACTGTGTCCATATCTGTTACACTGATAACATCGTTTTTCAGCAGCCACAACCATTTGTGGCAAAGTCCCCAGACAAGGGGGGCCAGGCAAGGGGGGAAAGATGCAGGCATTGGGGATGGCCTTGGAGAGACAGACCAGCTTGGCTGGCTGCCCAACCTTCTAGATAAGAGTGCTGAGGCCCTGGCCATGAATCTTGAGAGGGAAGGAGCTGTAAGTAAGCAACCTTGTGATTATGCCTGTGTTGGAGTGTTCATTGCACCTGGGCTGAAAGTTCTGCTGGAATCTTTATTATATTCATTTGCTCAATTATATATTTTCGCTGCACTGGGTGTAACACGTGGTGCCCAGGAAAAGGCAAAGGGCAAAAATCTCCCTAATATTGTCTCTAGGAAGGGCTTGTTCCTTTGTGAAGTTGTTAAACTTTGAATAACTATGCAGGAAATGAAAAGGATCAGAGATTCCCTAAAGGTCCTCAATCTCCATATCCTCTTTCTTTTGGCCTGTGCTTGGTGATACTCCCTAGGGCTGACATTTGCTCTAGGAGTTGGGGCCTAGGATATTTAATTCCTAGAGTTGGTTTAACAGCTACATTCATCACTTCTACCCCCACCCCCACCTCCAGCTCCCAGCACCGCGTGAGCCAGGATTCAGTCTTGTGCTGCCTCTGTTCCAAGTTTTCTGTTCTTCTCCGCCATCAATCAGAGTGATTAAACCGCAGTATTTGAGCTGAGACAAAATGCAGTTGTTTTAAACCATCAAGTAAGCAATTCCACATACCTTGTGCTGTGTCACAAAAATACCTGTTTATGGACTTTTAACGAGAAGACGCAATCCACAACCAATATGCCCAGGCAAGAATAGTTTAAACTTGTCAACTCTGTTAAAAAACAAAACTCACAACCTTGGAGATCAGAGCAGCTGCATGGAGTGATTCTTGAATTGGGCAGTGTCCAGTCTGGGAGCTGCCAGGCTCCCCCAGAAGGGAGGGTTTTCACAGACAGAATAGGAGGAGGTTATTTGCAAAGGTGGCTGTTTCAGGTGCCACAGTACCTGTGGTACAGTCTTTAACCCCTGCGCCCCCAGGGAGGCCCGCAGCCTGGTCATCTGACCAGGCAGATGAACTTGACAGAGGCTAAGAATAGAAAAGTGGGAAAGGAGGCATCAGAAGGCCAGAATCCTGGCTCACGCAGCACTGGGAGATGGGGGGTGTGGGGTGGGTAGAAGTGATGAACTTAGCTGTTAAGCCAGTTCTAGGAACTAAATATCCTAAGGCCCCAACATCTTTTTATTTATTTATTTTTTTTAAAGATTATTTATGCATACAAGAAATATGGTACAGGCCAGTGGTGGGGGACAGGGTGGGGTGGGGTGATTCACCAGAGGCAGAGTGGGGAGCAGAACAGGCAGATCCCTGGAAATCCACTGCTGAGGGGAGCAGCGGGAAGACAGGAGAGGTCTGCTGCGCCCTTTGGGTGTTGTGCCCAGCGTCGACCAGTGCAGCCCCCAAGGACACACAGACAGCCGCTGCAAGAGCATAAAGGAGTTTATTACAGGCTCAAGTCCGGGCCCACGACACGCACCGATGTAACGGTGGAGGTCGGGAGCCCTGAACAAAGGAGACAGGGATCTTATATAGGGATACAAGTAGATTTCTAAAAATTAAATCATGTTGGCAGTCATTCATTAGTTACACAGGTGCATCATTCATTGATTACACAGGTGCATTTCTTAATAATGGTGGGTACACAGTTATTTTATGGCTAGTTTGACCCCATCAGTGGCCTGCATTGCTCGGTTCTATTTTATGGCCAATTAGACCCATTACTCGGCTCCACTGTGGCCGGCCATCAGAGATAAGACCAGAGTGGGGTGGGGGTCATAAACCCTCTTTGGAATGCAGGCTAATTAGTCTTGAGTAAGCAAAACTTGAAATACTAAGATGGCGGTTATACACAAGATGGAGGAATAGTGGCTAAGTCTCACATTGGGTAGCTCCCTGGCCGGGGATAGAACTGGAGCTGCAGTGGCTGGTGAGAGCTTGATAGTTCTGTCTTTAACCCCCGCGCCCCCAGGGAGGCCCGCAGCCTTTATCTTGATTTTGCTTCTCCTACCCCTGACATCCTGGGTCCCTCTGCCCCTTTCCTATGGGTCCCCGCTGGCAGGAGCCTTAAACATGCATCAGGCTTTCAGTCCTCAGTGGCCCTGCTTGGGCCACCCCTGTTTGGCTGGCCATTTACTCACGAGGGGATAGGTAACTTCGGGTGCTTATTTGGAAATGATATTTTTTGTATTAAAATTCTTTTCTATTAAAGGTCTTTTATGTTTTGTCTTGATGTGGCAGATATCTAGAACTTATTTAGAATGGGTAGGTTTAGAGGTTCTGGGGTACCCCTCTCCCTGTCTGTAACAACCCTTCCCATCATTCCTTTTTTTTAAAAAATATTTGCCTAGAAGGACTGGGGATGTAGGCCAGAGGTGTGGGGGGTGAGAGGATTTACCAGAGACAGAGTGGGGAGCAGAGTGGGGAGCAGACCACTGGAGAGTTCTGCTGCGCCATGTGGGTCAGCTCCCAGGCCGGGGATGGAACTCAGGCCTTAGAGTAATAGCCTGAAACTTAACCCCTAAGCCCCAGAGAGCCCTTTCCCATCATTCTTTAAGGAATTAAGTGCTCTGGTTTTGTGCCTTCAAGACCAATCTTCCTTTTATCACTAATTCCTGTAAAGAGAGAAAGAAATTATGACTTTTATATTTCTGAAGATTTTCTTTTAAGTTGGAGGCTTCCTCTTATAAAGAGAAGATATCGATTAAATAATTTCTCAAGGAAAATATGAAATTTTGGTGAAATCAGTATAAAGGGCTTTGATTTATTAAACACCTACCATAGACCCTTCGAGTGTAAGTGCCTTAGGGGCAGGGACCCATTTGTCCCCAGACCCCAGAGCAGCACAGGCTCAGAGAAATACCAGTACACGTGAAAGTGGATGCCAGGCCCAATGCAGCGAGCTCTAAGGCATCTCTCATTGAGCTCCAGCTCCAGCCACCACTTATCACACACACAAACGCACCTTTTACAAAAGTTACAATCAAGAAGTGTATCTTATCCCATTTTACAAATGAAAAACCAATGCTAAGAGAGGTGGAGTAATTTATTCAAACACACAAAACTGATAAGTAAATGATCTCTCTGACTTTAGGACTTCCCTTACTCAGAGTTCTATGACTAGAACAAAGTGGGAATGGCCTGTGCCAGAACATTCCATTACCCGGGTGACATTTCTGGACTAACTTCGCCAGTGGATTCAATAGGCTTTGAGTTGCTGTATATTAAAGGTAACAGAGTAATCTACCTACCATAGAAATAGGAATATAGTTTTCTACCTCTCTCTCTCTCTCTCTCTCTCTCTCTCTTTCGCTCTCTCTCTATCATTATTGTGGTAATTGTGTTCTATAAAGTAACCTCAGGTATTAATTTTGGGTTAACATACATTTTAGTGAGTAGGCAAATTTGTAATATAGAGTTCATGGATAATGAGGATTTACTGTATATCCATGCTCAGTATTTTCAAAGCCCTTTTCAGACAAAAGAACGCATGTGTTCAGTTTCTAAGCCCAGCATGGTCACTTAACTCTGCCCCTAGTCCCCACGCAGGAAGTGAGATTCGTGGCATGCTAGGAGTTGTAATCCTCAGCACCCCAGAACTCATCAGTATGGCATCCACTCAGGACTTATTCACTGGCTCAGAGCTTGCTCACTCTTCCTCTGGTATTACCTGCATTCAAGGTCCATTGACCAAAACCCTGTTCTGGCCGATAACCTCTACAGTTGTGGCAGCATTGGGTGAGAGGGAAGAAGGCCTGCCCAACCAGGCACTATTTTTTTTTAAGATTTATTTTATTTATGTGTGCATAGAAGAACTGGGGTGTAGGCCAGAGGTGTGGGGAGTGAGAAGATTCACCAGAGACAGAGTGGGGAGCAGAACGGGGGGATCTGGGCCTCCCTGGTGGCACAAGGGGTTGAGTCTCAGCACTATGAAGCTACTGCATCCTGAGTTCGATCCCTGGCCAGGGAGCTACCCATATGGCACAGCTGACCTCTCCTGTCTCCCTGCTGCTCCCCTCAGCAATGTGTTTCAGTAGATCTGCCATTTCTCTGGTAAATCCTCTCACCCAGCATCCCCAGCACCTCTGGCCTACACCCCAGCACTTGTAGGCATAAATAAATTATCTTATAAAACAAAACAAAACAGGTGGAGCTGCTGAAATACAGTGCTGAGGGGAGCAACGGAGAGACAGGAGAGGTCTCCTGTGCCATGTGGGTCAGCTACCTGGCCAGCCAGGGATGGAACTCCTGCTGCAGCGATAGGCGATAGCTTGATAGCACTGTCTTTAACCCCTGCATCACCAGTGGGGGCCACCAGTGGCCCTCTGCCCACTTCTCCCCTGAACTTCCCATTCCATGTAGAGTGCCCTTCCCCATTTCCATAAACATTTTCAGACTTCTATCCTTTTATTCTTCTGAGTTGCATTCAGGGTGTTGCTTCTGCTCTGTCCTCCAGTTCTCTGATTCTTTCTTCATCTGAATCCACACCTGCTGCTATATCCATACACAAGTTCTAAATTTATTAAGAACATTTTTTTCACTTCTAGGAATTCTTTTTGGTTTCTTGTTTCCTGAAGATAGTTGCAAACTTGTTTTCTTCTTTCTTTATCTGTGCCATGTGGTGATTATTTTATAGTCTGTCTGGTGCTTCCAGTGTATGCAGATTTCATAGGTTTGCTCTTCTCACTTCTTGATGCCTGACTTACTTGTGTGCTTGATTGGTTGTCTTGTGAGGTGTATTGTTTACCCTCCTTGAAAAAGTTTTGTTGGAGATTCCCAGAGAACTAGGCGGAAGTTCTTTCAGAGGATGTTTGAGTTGGCTTCGGGCACATGGGTGTTTTCCTAGTCTGGGCCCTTTTCAGTAAATTCAGTAAATTCTGGGCCCCTTTCAGTTAATTCCTCTGGTGTAGGCCAGAGGTGCAGGGGTGAGAGGACTCACCAGAGATAGAGCGGTGAACAGAACAGGCAGACTGATGAAATACACTGCTGAGGGGAGCAGCAGGTGAGACAGGTGAGGTCTGCTGCACCATGTGGGTCACTCCCTGCCTGGGGATCGAACTCAGGCCACAGTGGGGACAACCTGAGACTCTGTGGGCCCCCGGGGAGGCCCCTAAAATGACTGTTTATTAATTATTTTTATAATCAGAAGAAACTGTTCCTAAAAGTAAGACTAAAGCAGATATCTGTGTACTACACCCTAAGGAGGCAATTAAAACAGTATGTTTATTTGGGATCAAAGAAGTACAATTTAGGGTACAAATTCAGTAGGGGTTTGTATGGGAAGAAAAGAGGAAATGGGGCCTCCCTTGTAGCATAAGGGGTTAAGATGCAACCTGTGAAGCTATTTGAGCCACTGCAGCATGAGTTCAATCCCCAGCCATGGAGCTGCCCACAGGGCGCAGCAGACCTCTCCTGTCTCCCTGCTGCTCCCCTCAGCAGTAGATTTCAGATCCACCTGTTCTGTTCCCCACTCTGTCTCTGGTGAATCTTCTCACCCCCCACACCTCTGGCCTGTACCCCAGTTTCTTTGTTTTTTTTTTTCTTGTATGCATAAATAAATACATCTTTAAAAAAAAAAAAAGAAAAGAGGAAATGAGGTAAGTGGTTAAAGAATAGGGTTGACTGCTGTTAAGGAGCTTAACCTATTCCTGACTTTACATTTTGGTTACAGATTCTCTAGAAAGGGTGTGAAGGGAACTGACGGACTCTCTGGCAATAGGTCCACAATCATCAGTTCTCTTGATCTGGACCATTCTCAGTGGTGGTGGTTTCTTAAAATGGCAGCTCTGACCCACTCCAAAGCTCTCTCAGCCAGTGTAAAAGCCTCTGGCCTGGTTTCATGGAGCCAGGCGGGGTGGCTTGTCTGGAGCGATGTCTGCGCAGGAAGGAGTGAGGTGTGGGAGGGGTGATGCCTTGGTGGTCTCCATGGGAGCAGAAAGAAAACTGGCCAAGGCCTGATTGTGGACTGGCTTCTGGGGCCCTGGCCACACAGTTTCTTCCATTTGTTTACAGGAATCACTGGTAATTGGCCTGCCGGCATAATGGCTTCAATGAAGAGAACCAGGGAGATAATTAAAAAACTTATAACCAGCAAGCGGGGTCTTCTGGAGGAGATCAACGAAAGGCGGGAGTCCAACTGCCTGGTGGAGAGAGGCAATGAGGTCAGCCTGCTCAGAGTTCAGCGGAGGCATTTCAAAGAGGCCTATTCGTCCCAGTCCCCGCAGGATGGAGTCAGAGAATCTGTTCCCGACAGCGGCAGGAGCTCCTGGGTGGAGCTGAGCTTCATCACCCACAAGGAAAGAAAGCACTTCCCACCCAAAAGTAAGACGCGATGTCAGTGTCAGGGTGCAGGGGAACCTACCCCTCTGGTCCTCTAGGCCGGTCAAGTTGCCAAAACGGCATTAAATGGGTTCGCAAAGGAATAAATCAGTTTCAGGCCACATGCACAGGGGAGGCCTGGGGGTCTTCTTTGGGGAGAGGGGCTTCATATGCTGAACTGAGAGTGGGATGGGGTCTTCCATGGTGGTCCAGGGGTTAAAGTCTCAGCGCTATCAAGCTATGGGCAGCCACTGACACCTGAGTCTGATCCCTGGCCAGGAAGCTGACCCACAGGGCATAGCAGACCTCTCCTGTCTACCCGCTGCTCCCCTCAGCAGTGGATTTCAGTGGATCTGCTTGTTCTGCCCCCCACTCTCTCTGGTGAATCCTCTCACCACCCCTCCACCTCAGGCTTTCACCCCAGTTCTTGTATGCATAAATAAATAAATCTTTTTTAAAAAAAGAGAGAGGGCCTTCTGGTGGCGCAAGGGGTTAAGCACAGCACTGTTAAGCTGTCCAACGGCAGTCTCTGCAGTCACGAGTTCGATCCTTGGCCGACCAGGGAGCTACCCACATGGCGCAGCAGACCACTCATGTCTTGCCCGCTGCTCCCCTCAGCTGTGGATTTCAGTCAGTCTGCCTGTTCTGTTCCCCACTCTGTCTCTGGTGAATCCTCTCAACCCCTACACCTCCGACCTATACCCTAGTTCTTGTATGCATACATAAATCAATCTTTAAATAGAGAGAGAGAGAGAGAGAGAGAGAACAGGACAGTGGGCCAGGATGCCCAGGAGAGGAAAGGGTCACCGCATTCCAGAAGGTTGTTAGTGCATGACTGTCACTTTTCCTCTCCATTAGGGGAAGGACCAGGGCTCAGGGGTAGTAGTGTCTGCTTCCTTGTTCAGGGCAAGAGAAAAGGGTCTATGAGAAGGGAAGGGCCTCCCTCTTAATCTCCTAGAATTTGCCTTATTCTAATCTCAACAAAATCTGCAGACCAGAGCCAGGCATTTGAGGAGAATGCCCTGAGAATCTTGGGGTGTCAGATTTGAGTCTTTTCATGGGATTCCCAGCCAATCAACAGGCGGGATTTGTAAGTAAATTAGAAAGAATTTCCAGGGTGAGAGAGCACATGTGGATTGGCCTGGGGTAGCGTCAGGCTGGTCTCCTGGCTGGACACCAGGAGGCTGGGTGCTGACCTAAGCCACTGTGTACAGGCATTCTTTTTCAAGCGCTCCTGAGGCCAAAGCCTCTGTCTTCATTGAGAACACTGGGATATTATTTGCGTTTTTCATTCTCACGCTCTCAGGAGAGTACAGTGGAATTTTCCAGAAGCTATGAGATGTGCAATGACATCATTGCTTTGACCATTAATGGAGTGTGGACTTGTATTCTTGAACTTAACATTTTTTGCTTTATTTTCTAACATGGTCATTGTTGATACAACACTCATACCAAAGCCTGACCAAGCTCTGTTCCTAAGGAGCTGACCTCAAGGAGAGGCAGGTGGAGGTGAGGAGTCCGCTGTGATGCTGGAAACAAATCTACCCTGGAGGGCCCCCCTGGTGGCGCTAGGGGTTAAAAACCACACTATGAGACAATCCACAGCCTCTGAAGCACGAGTTCGATCCCCAGCAGGCCAGGGAGCAATCCACATGGTGCATCAGACCTCTCTTGACTCACCCGCTGCTCCCCTCAGCATTGTACTTTGGTCAATCTGCCTGTCCTGCTCCCCACTGTCTCTGGTGAATCCTCTCATCCCCCACATCTCTGGCCTGTGCCCCAGCTCTTGTATGTATAAATAAATAAATCTTTAAAAAAAACAAACAAAACAAATCTACCTTGGAGGGCCTGGCTGAGAGCAGAGGTGGGTGGCCCTGCCCCCAGGAGGCCACAGGCTCAGAAGGACCCTCAATGAGATAACAAGATGGGACTTAGCTCCGGAATTCTGTGGCTGTTACTTGAGTTGGCCCTGAACATATACGGAAGAATCCAGGGCAAAGCAGCACAAGCTATAACAGCCTCCTCGTGATGTGGGGTGCCTCCTGGGAGCCTTTCTCTACACAGAACAATCCCCCCCTGTCCTCGCTTACACTTATTCTGGTGCTTTGCACCTGGACAGACAGCAGGCTTCTGCCCTGTAAGTCCCATCACACTAATGAATCTCATCTCCTTTCTGATGCCGCCCACGTTCTATTTCTGGCCCTGATATTTCTCCTGTGTTCTGGAAGCATCTATCAGATTGCAGGTAGCAGACTGTAGCCTGTACCTGATGTTACCGCAGATGCCACAGACACACAGCCACGCCCCTGACCCCTGGCTAGCGCTGGGTTCTAGGACCCAGAAGCACCCCAGAAGCCATGTCAGCTATGCTTCAGCATCAGTGCTGGGTCTGGTCTCAACCCCCAGTCTGCAGGGCCTGTCCCATCCTCCACTGTCAGCCCCTTTACATCCTTCCCTGAGCTGGTCAGCTTCCCGCCACCAGGGCCAGATGCTTTTCCAGCCACATCTCTGCCCTCCCTGCCTCTTTCCACCACTGTGACTTTTCTCCTGATCCTGGACCAGGCCCCTCTGTCTCCCGCCTCAGGGACAGGGGCACAGTGTCCCTGGGCCCAGAGCTGTGCCTCTTTCCCTCATTTTACTCAGATTTTTGTTCAAAAGTCAATGCATAGGAGCCTCTCTGGGGGCGCAAGAGGTTAAGTCTCAGGTTAAGTCTCTGCACAGTCATTAGTTGTATCCAAAAGGGCAGGTTAGGGCCTCCCTGGTGGTGCAATCAAGCTATCAGCAGCCACTGCAACACGAGTTCAATCCCCAGCCAGGGAGCTGACCCAAAGGGCACAGCAGACCTCTCCTGTCTCCCAGCTGCTCCTCTCAGCAGTGTATTTCAGTGAATTGGTCTGTTCTGCTCCCCATCTTGTCTATGGTGAGCTCTCTCACCCCCTACCAGCCTGCACCTCTGGCCTACACCCCAGCTCTTGTATGCATAAATAAAGTAAATCTTAAAAAAATAGTCAACTCATCAGGAAGCACCTGATGTAAATAGCGCCCCAACATCTGGCCCCCCAGCTTTCTTTCCCTCCGCTCTTATCACTTCCTTAGGCCAAGCTCCCGAAAGTGTAGCCGTCGCTGCTTTATCATAACAGTCCCTAGTATGGCGTCCAGCACAGTCCAGACACTCTGCAAGTATTTGTTGAACAAATATTGAGACAAGGAGTGTTTTTTCCAGAAGGAGCGGGGGTCTGACCACATTCCTCTTGAGACAGTTGACAGCGGGAGGGGGCGGAGGGGCCTCAGCACTGGCGCGTGTTCCTCAGAAGGGACGGCGGGAAGGCACGTCTGCGGGCAGTGAGCTTCCCTAAGTCTGAGGAAGAGCTTCATCCTCCATTCATTCATTCATTCATTCAGCAAATATTCGTGCGCGCCTCAGCACATCGGGTGGCTTGTGGGCTCGGCCCCGGTGAGGAACTTCGAGGGGCCTGGGCGGTGGAGGTGTGTGCCCTGGGTGGGGTGGGCGGTCAGGGCCGCTGGGCCGGAACGTCTGGGAGCTGAGATGCGTCCAGGGCACGGCGGTGACCAGGGCCACGGGCCTGACCAGGGCCACGGGCCTGGACAGTGTCATCAGGGATAAAGGGCAGCGTGAGATTGGCCTGAGGGTCGCGAGTGCTGAGAGGCCTGGAGGGTTAAGGGTGAGGGAGGTCCAGGTTTTGTCGAAGCCCTCGAGTTTGGGGCTTCTTTGGCGTGTTAGGCCCGGGAAGGTGGTTTCTTTTTTTTTCTTTTTTCCATTTTTTCAGATTTATTTATTTATGGATACAAGAACTGGGGTACAGGCCAGAGGTGTGGGGAAGTGAGAGGATTCACCAGAGGCAGAGTGGGGAGCACAGCAGGCAGACTGACTGAAATACACTGCTGAGGGGGGACCAGGGAGGCAAGAGAGGGCTGCTGCGCCATGTGGGTAGCTCCCTGGCCGGGGATCGAACTTGTGTTGCAGAGGCTGCAGACAGCTTCACAGTGCTGTACTTAACCCCTGTGCCACCAGGGAGGCCCTGGGAAAGCGGTTTCTAAGCAGGCACTCTCCACACTCCGCCTTCAGTCTTCCCCCGCGCGTGTGAAGGCAGGACGAGGACAGCAGTGGACACTCATGCCAACGGTTCTCAGTCCCACTGCCGTAGCTAGGGACAGGCTTTGACAACAGGCTTTCCTGTCTCGGGGTTCTGGAGGCTAGAAGTCTGAGGCAGGGGCACCAGCAGGGGTGGGCTAGGCGAGGGGCATCTTCCTGGCGTGCAGAGGGTGTCCAGTGGCCTGTCCTAGCTGGGCAGAGGGGCTAGCTTTCTGGCCTCTGGTCACCCAGCACATATCCCACTCTCCGGGGCTCTACCTTCTCAGTCACGTCTCGCTGGCACCTCACCTCCTAAGTCAGCACACTGGGGTAGGGTTTCTTTCTTTCTTACCCTTTTTTTTTTTTTTAAAGATTTATTTTATTTATTTACTCATACAAGAGCTGGGGTACAGGCCAGAGGTACTTGGGTGGGGGGCAGGGTGAGAGGATTCACCAAGGACAGAGTAGGGAGAAGAACAGAAGGATTCACTGACATACACTGCTGAGGGGAGACAGGAGAGGTCTGCTGGGCCATGTGGGTCAGCTCCCTGACCAGGATGGAACTTGGGCTTCAGTGGCTGGTCATAGCTTCATTGTGCCGAGACTTAACCCCTGCACCACGAGGGAGGCCCTGGGGTAGGGTTTCAACGCAGGAACTTGGAGGGGACACAGAAGCTCCATCAAGCTCTGTCAGTCTCCCTTAGGCTCAGCTTCTGCTTGGATCACTGGCCTTGGTCATTTAGTGTTTCTAGATCTTAGTCTCTGTGTCTGTGAAACAGAACCTAGCTGCTCATCCTCTCTGCCCTCGAGGATATTTTGAAGACCACAAAATGTATTGTGTGTTAATGACAATGGCTTTTTGTTCTTTATTTTTCAGATAATGCCATATTTGGATAACCTGCATCTCCAGAGATACACAGAAATGCCACCTCTTTAATCCTTCAATGTCTTGTCTGAATTATTTGCAAATATTATGAAGCATAAAATTATGTGCTTGGATCACCAGGAAAACATTTAATTAAGTTATGTAAGCATGCCATCTTTGTTCATTTCATTCCATAATTAGACTTAGATTTTTTTTTTAAAGATTTATTTATTTATGCATACAAGAGCTGGGGTACAAGCCAGAGGTGCAGGGGGTAGGAGGATTCACCAGCGACAGTGGGGAGCAGAACAGGTGGATCCACTGAAATCCACTGCTGAGGGGAGCAGCAGGGAGACAGGAGAGGCCTGCTGCACCTTGGCTGGGATCAAACTCAGGCCAAAACAGTTGTTGATAGCTTCATAGTGTTGAGACTTAACCTCTGTGCCACCAGGGAGGCCCTAGACTTAGATATTTTGAAGATGGAATTTTAGTCACCAAAAGATGTCTTCAAAGATGAGTTATCTGCACTAGTTTAGACCTTCAGAGTCAGTGGAATGTGCTGGTCACCCTGCAGGCCGGGGCTTCAGAGCCTCAGGGGCAGCCCTGGCCTCTGTGTTGCGTGCTTGACTGAGACTTGGATCACTGGAATAAGTTCACGCTCGAGAGTGTAATAAAAGGTGCCTGTTGCCAGAGCTTTTGGGGACATGCCCCTCCCCTGCCCGGTGCAGCCATCCTGGGCTCACCTGGGTCAGATCCTGTTTGGCTAGTGTCACCTTTCACAGCCTCCCAGGGGGCAGGCTGATGCCAGTTTGGTTGGCCTGAGCTCCTGCCCCTGGAGTTGATGCTGTGTCTTGCTGCCAGATGGGCTGCCAGTGGGTCTGGCCCCTCTGGGGCATTTGTCTTTACATCAGTGAAACATTTATTTTTTAAAAGAGTTGTTTTATTTATTTATGCATACAAGATCTGGGGTGCAACAGTGCTGTGAAGCTGTCTGCAGCCTCCACAGTGCTGGTTCAATTCTCAGCCAGCTGGGGAGATACCCACATGGCATAGCAGACCTCTCCTGTCTCGCCCACTGTATTTCAGTCAGTCTGCCTGTTCTGTTCCCCTCTCTGTCTCTGGTGAATCCTCTCACCCTTCTGCACATCTGGCCTGTGCCCTGAAAGGTCGATGCAGGGGCCAGGAATAAGGAAGCCCACATAGCAAAAAACAAGATGGCCCTGACACCAGTACCATTGATACCATCAAACCAAAACTGAAGCCATAAACAGGAGAAAAACAACTTGGCTCCACAAAAAACAACTTTGTTCCGCCTAAACCTGTTTCCCCCCTGCCAACACAGTTTTCCTGCCTAACCTCTCCTCACCCTATAAAAGGACATCTCCCCCCATAATGGGTGCTACTTCTCCGACCCCCATGAGAGTTGGCAAATCTCACCCAGGGTGCAATAAAGTTTCTGCCTGTTAGAAACTGGCCTGGCTCTCCTTCTTGTTATTGCGCCAAACCTTCCATGCCCCGGTTCTTGTATGCATGAAAAAAATGAATCTTTAAAAAAAAGAAAAAGAACTGGGGTGCAGCTCTTGTATAGGGTGCAGGGGCGGGGTGAGAGGGTTCACCAGAGGCAGAGTGGGCAGCAAAACAGGCAGATCCACTGAAATCCACTGCTGAGGGTGTTAGGGGGAAAAGGATGTCCCAAAGGAAACTCCAAATCCCATCACCACCAAAGGGAAGGTGGCTGGGATTTGGAGTTTCCAGTGTCTTTGGCTTTGACCTGGGGTGGGGGTGGAGTCCATAAAGCCTATATGGAATTTGCTTTGGGACATCCTTTTCCCCCTAACAAGGGGAGCAGCGGGGAGACAGGAGAGGTCTGCTGTGCCCTGTGGGTCAGCTCCCTGGCCCAGGATGGAACTCAGGCTGCAGTGGCTGGTGATAGCTTGAGAGTGCTGAGCCTTAACCCTGTGCCACCAGGGAGGCCCCAACTGTGACACATTTACCTTCTGTTTTGTCACCCTTTGTCTCAGGTTCCTAAGCCTGAACATTTTATTTTATTTTTTTTTATTATTTAAATTTTATTTTTATATTCCCCATACAATTACAACCCCCTTATTTTGACCCCAATCCCTCCTTTCCCCGCCCCCCATCCCCCATAGAGTGTCTCTGGTTCATAGTTGTTGTTGATTTTGATATTTTCTTTCTTATAGTTATTCCTTTTCCTGGTTCCTTATTTAAGTTTTCTAGATTCCTGCTATGAGTGAGTCATTTTAATGTGGTGGGGTGTGAATCAGCCCAGGGGCCTAACCCCTCTTGCCAGAACTTGATTCATCAACTCAGGTTCAATGAAAAAGGCCAGGCCCAAAGCTAAGTGTTTCTCAAAAAGGCAAACATTGCCCGTCAAGTGAGGGGGAGGGGCAGCTGCCCTGTTCCCTGGGTACCTCCGGAGACCCTGGTTCAAAGGCTTTGGGGGTCCCCCACCACCTCAAGTACACTGTTGCTATTTGGTGTGACTTAGTAGGTTTTTTTGGGGGGTGCTATTCATTCACTTGGAAACATTTCTGGATGTTCCCAGATGTGAAAAATAACTTACCCCTGATCTAGTCCAGGATACTATGGCTTATAATCAGTACAAATGTTCGAATGACCAAAATATCTACTTGATCTTCACTGTATTGCTGGCTGGCTGCTTCCCTAATCCTGTTGAGAGGGACAAAAGTGTCTTTGTTATGTTTGGGGAGCTGGTTGCCAGGAGCCTGGGGGAAGTAAAGATTGAGCTCACTTGCCAGTGGCAAATGATTTGCTGCCCAACACGCCCCCCTCCCCCGCCCCCCCCACCCCAGTCACAGCCTTTATAACCAATGGTGACCCAGGCAGCAGGTGCATCTGTGTGTCCTTCTAGCAAACTAGCCCCCCCGGGAGGGGTGAGGGCCCGTGGGTGCAGCCAGTGGTCAGTGGCGCTGGCAGCTGGGGCTTTGGCCCTGCGGGTCCTGAGGTAAGGATGGTCTCAGGAGGCTGAGCCCGAGGAATCTGATGCTATCTCAGGGCAGATGGTGTCAGAACTGACTGGAATTCTCCAGAGGCTGGTGTCTGAGAATTGCTTATTGGCAATTCACACTGACATTGGAATTGGACCCAGGAACCCTAAACAATCATAGGAAATAAGAATGTCTATTTTTGGATGGAGGAGGTGTTCCCCTTTTTCTTCCTCCCCAGACCTGTGGGGGAAAGTGGAGCTGGCCTGGGAGGGGCCACACTCACTCATGGAGGTTTCCCTTCACAACTGAGGGGCCCTGAGTTTATGAAGCTGATCCTGGCCTGGAGGAAGGCGTCCTCTTTTTGACACCAGCCTGCAGTGAACAAAGCCGCCCTCTGCTCCAGTTTGGAGATTTACCTCTGCCCTTGGCTTTTGGCTGTAAACCGTCCTTGAAGAATTTGGGGCAAAAGGCACTCCTGGGCCCCAGAGACCTGTGGGGAGTTATCGCCCACCAGCTAGACGCTTGATAAAGGCCACCACAGGGCATTTTGTTTGCTCAGCCTAAAGTGAATTATAGTGCAGTTAGACTCCCCTCTATTTGCAACAGAAAGCCCTAGCCTAAAAATTTAGGTATGAGCAGAATTAAACTCTAACTGATGTGGTTTTTTGGAGTTAGTGGGTTTGGAGTGAGGGGTCCTTGGGTTCACTTTGGGAAAGATGTCCCCAGAGCTCCCGTTTCAGTGACACGTGGGAAGTTCCCCAGGCAAGTTTCTCCACGAGACAGGAGACAGAGACATTAGTTATATTTAAAGGGCAGGTTTACTAGGGAAGAGATAAAACAGTAAAAGATACTTGCATAGACACAAGCGAACAGGAAGAGCTGCCCCAGAAGGGACAGGTTTGCTAAAAGGCCTGCATGGTCGCAGGCGGGCGGCCTTGAGGAGAGCTGTGTCCGCTGAGGGAGGTCAGTGAGGAGAAATCCCGTCATGATACAGCTCACGGGCAGGCAGGAGGCTGCTGCCCTGCAGAGGGAGAGAGTAGGTAAAAAGAGGCACCTGCATAGGCACAGGTGGGCAGTGGGAGTGCTGCCATCAGCCTGTGCAGAGACCGCTCTGATGTAGTCTTCTGTTTGGGAGGGGTCACTCCTTATGAGCTTTCAGTTGGTTGCTAATTTTGGATAACTATATAAAATTCGAAAGGGACCCGAGATTCTACAATGGGCTCAATCTCCATATCTTTACCTTTGGGGTCTGTTGGGCTCAGTCTCCATATCCTTACCCTTGGGCCTGTGCTCTAGACACTCCTTTCAGCAGTCTGATACCTGCTTGGGTCTTATGCTTTGTAATCTAGGTGTTGGAGCCTAAGGATCTTAGTTTCCATAACTGTGTAGTTTTTTTTCTATTCCTGTCCTCTATCAGGCCTAATCTCCATATCTTTACCCTCAGGTCAGTGTCTGTGCTCCAGACCCTCCCTACAGCTCTGACACCTGCTTGGGTCTTGGGCCTTGTTTTAAGGCTCTGGCACCTGAGGATCCTGATTTCCGTAGCTGGGTTAATCCCTCTACCCCCACCTCCAGCTCTTGGCTTAGTGTGACCCAGGTTTTAGTCTCCTTCAGGTTTTCTGTTCTTTCCCCCTTCACTAACTATAACAGGGTGGTCCCCAAGAAAGGGGGAGGTTTCAGGTTTCCTGCCCCACCCAAAAGGGAGGGTGGAGTTCAGCAGGGAGAGAAGAAGATGCAGAGTAGACTGAGGAAGAAAGGAAGCAGGATGGAGCCAGAAGGAGGCCTGGAGGAGGCACATGGAGCTGAGAAACACGCGAAGAAAGTGAGCTTGCCTTCTGGTCGTGGACTGGGTGACACAGATGTGGGTGAGACTCTTGGGGAGGTGACAGTGGCGGTTTTTGTCTTGATTTTTTTTTTTTCTATTTTTTTTTTAATTTTTTTTTAATAGAGGCATGTTTATTTATTTATTTGTTTGTTTGTTCTGTTTACACATGCACTGGGTACAGTCAGAAGCGTGGGAGGGTGAGAGAATTCACCAGAGCCAGAGCAGGGAGCAGAGCAGGCAGAAGGACCGAAGTACACTGCTGAGGGGAGCAGCGGGCGGCAGGAGAGGTCTGTGTGCCATGTGGGACCCTCCTCCGGTGGCCGGGGAGCAGCCGGGGATCGAACCGGCACTGCAGAGGCTGAGGGCAGCTTTGCAACCCAGCGCTCAACCGCTGCGCCACCGGGGAGGCCGGTTTTTGTCTTGATTTTGATTTTGCTCTTTTTCTTCCAGACTTGTCTGGTTGTTTCTGATTCTTTTCTATGGGTCCCCACTGGAAGATGCTTTAGACTTGTGGCAGGCTTTGGGGCCTTGCTCTGGGCCAATCCCATTTGGGTGGACTTTTACCCACGAGGGGACGGGTAACTTTGGGTCTTTGATTTAGAAACTATATTCTTTGCCTTTCCTGTATTGTTTACTAATTGTATTAAAGTTCCTTTTCATTAAAATCTCATATGTTTTGTGTTCATGCAGCAGATGGCAGAAACTATTTAGAGCAGGCAGGTTTGCGGGGTCTGGGCTGCCCCTCTCCCTGCCCTGTAACATAACCACTGAGTTACACCCCCACTTTAGCACTGTTACCTCAATGAATTGCACGCCCTTCTCATGACTTAACTGGCTCCAACTACATTTCTGGGAACTTGGAAAATTAGTTGTGCTGCTTCCCTGATAAAACTCTGTGTCGCCCTGGGGTTGATAGTAGTACCAGCACCTCCACTGAGCAGAACATCCTGCTGGGAAAGCCAGCACCTGGACCCTGTTGCCTGGTCCCCTGGCCTGGATGAGCCAGAGGTGGGGGCAGGATAATTAACAGTTATTAAGCCAGGAAATTTCATAAGGCCAGGAAGAGGAGGTGGGTGGGAAGAGGATTAAGTCTTACAGAAAACCAACCTAATCCCAACATGAGAAATTCCTCAGTGAGAAATCCCCAAAACAAAAGGCCACCCCCAACCTTGTCCTTGCCTGCTTAAGGCTATGCAAGTATCTCTTTTTCTCAACAACACACCTGTGCCCTTAAGATGACTTTGCTGAATTCATCCTTGAAGGACTCCAAAGAACCCCGCCCCCCCCCCCACACACACACTCCCAGAGTATGGGCTAGGGATTGTGAAATCTTGATGGGAACCCTGTGTGGATGAGGTGGGGCTGGACGAGAGGGTCCTAATGCCATCAGCAATCACAGCCCCAGCCCCAGCCAATGTGGTGTTGCTTGTCTACCCGGCAAAGGGGCGGCCCCTCCTAAGGCATTTGGGGGTGCAGGGTTTTGACCACGTGTCTTGTGACAAGACCAAACATTCTTTTTGTTTAAAGATTTACTTATTTATGCATACAAGAGCTGGGGTAAAGGCCAGACGTGTGGGGGGCTGAGAGGATTCACCAGAGACAGAGTGGGAAAAAGAACAGGCAGATGTACTGAACTAAGGGGAGCAGTGGGGAGACAAAAGAGGTCTGGGGCACCCTGTGGGTCAGCTTTCTGGCAGGGATAGGGATTGAACTCAGGCTGCAGCGCTGAAACTAACCCCTAGGCCACCAGGGAGGCCCACAGGACCACACTTTCCAAGCTGCCTTTCTGTTGTTTCCAAAGTGAAATGGCTGGCTGCTCTTTTTGAGGTTGACCTTGCAGGATGATTTAACACCTTCCTAGTTTCACTTTCCACAACCCCTCCTGTCTTCCTCCTGCACCTGTGTTTTATGGATGGATTTGTGGTCCTCTGCCCTGCTCTGTTGCCCCCTGCACCTGGCAAACTGTAGTTTAAATGCCACTTCCTTCTGGAAGTCTCCCTTTCCTTACCCTCTCAGTTGTTTCCTCTTTGTTGTCCTCTTACACTAGCCTCTGGCAAAAATCCAAAACTCCAAGTCACAAAACAATCACGATTTTGAACTCTGGTCCTCTCTGAAATCTCACTGGATAAATCCTACAGGAAGTGAAACTGGAGGTGAAGGTGATATCGAACGCCAGCCTCAGTTTCCCTCAGCCAATAAAAGGAAACAACCTGAGGAAAAGGAAAGTGGTTTAATTTGTAGACAAACAAGGAGGGCAGCAGACTCATATCTGAAAGATAACTGTCCTGCTCTTTGACAGAGTGCAGGAGTTTTTATACAAAGGCAAAAAATGGGGGCAATGGGCTAGGGTCCGCAAAAGGGAGGGGGAAGGGGTTGGCACAGACACAGGTGGGCGCCAGCTTGCTTTCTTCAACAGCTAATGTTTAACTCCCTTTTCCTTGGAATGCAGGACTTGTTAATGCTCATCTGAGAGACCTGTCATAAAGACAAACCTGTCAAACTAGGGGGGAATTGCAAGAAATAGGGGAAAGGCAAATTTGTTAATACCTATTTGAGAGGGCCTCCCCGGTGGCACAGTGGTTGAGCGCTGGGTTGCGAAGCTGCCTGCAGCCACTGCAGCGCCGGTTCGATCCCCGGCTGCTCCCGGGCCACGTGAGGAGGGTCCCAAATGGTGTGCAGACCTCTCCTGCCGCCCGCTGCTCCCCTCAGCAGTGTACTTCTGTCCTTCTGCCTGCTCTGCTCCCTGCTCTGGCTCTGGTGAATTCTCTCACCCTCCCGCGCTTCTGACTGTACCCAGTGCTTGTCTAAATAAATAAATCTTTAAAAAAAAAAAAAAATACCTATTTAAGAGACCAGTCATTTGTAACTGTATCATAATATCCAACTTCAGCCTAGCCCCGGCCATCACAGTAGGGCTCATTCTTGGCGGAGAGAGCAGCCCTGCCACAAGAAAAGGGTTTCAGCACAAGGGGTTTCCATGGAATGGGGCCAGGTAAGAAGCAGCAGTGTTCTCCCAAGCTCCTACTAGGACCCTTCACTGAAAAGCAGCACAAAGCCAGGATCAGAGCCCAGGGTTTTAGGACCTGCACCCAGTTTCATTTTTTTTTGTTTAAAGATTTATTTATGCATACAAGAGCTGAGGTACAGGCCAGAGGTGCAGGAGGTGAGAGGATTCACCAGAGACAGAGCAGGAAGCAGAACAGGCGGACTGACTGAAATCCACTGTTGAGGGGAGCAGTGGGGAGACAGGAGAGGTCTGCTGCGCCATGTGTGTAGCTCCCTGGCTGGCTGGGGATCGAACTCGTGCTGCAGAGGCTGCGGACAGCTTCACAGTGCTGTGCTTAACCCCTTATGCTGCCAGGGAGGTCCCAGTTTCATTTCGAAGAGAAATATTTCTAGAAAGCCATAATCTGTGTCCCTGTAACCTGGTTTCTTTAGTCCAGACTATCCAAGCCTTTTTTTCAGGTGCTGCCCCCTGGGGGACTGGGTCTGGATGCATGTGGTTCTAAAGCTGTTTCTGCAGCAGGTGCTGGAGCCTGGGAAATAGCTTCATTGCGTTCTGGGTGGTCACATCTATGACTTCTTCCACGGAGACCCCCTTCACCTGGGCGATGTATTCTGCGGAAATGATGATGTTCTGGGGCTCATTCCGTACCTGAAAGAGAACAGAGGCTAAGTCAAACATGGCATTCCAGGGCAGCAATCCTCGGAGACAGCAGATCAAACAGAACAGAATGTTGATAAAAACTGATTTTTTTTTTTTTTTAGTGGGGTGGGGGCACTTAGGCGAGGGAGAAAGCCCTGAACTTCAGTTTAAAAGCTATGGCTGCACACTATTTATAATAGGTAAGACTAGGGAACAACCCAAATGCCCAAAAATAGAAGACTGAGGGCCTCCCTGGTGCATAGTGGGTTGAGTGCTGCGCTGTGAAGCTGTCTGCAGCCTCTGCAGCACGGGTTCCATTCCTGACCAGCCAGGTAGAAACCCACATGGCGCAGCAGACCTCTCCTGTCTCACCCGCTGCTCCCCTCAGCAGTGTCTTCAGTCTGTCTACCTGTTCTGCTCCCTGCTCTCTGATGAATTCTCTCACCCTCCTGTGCCTCTGACGTGTACCCCAGTTCTTGTATAAATAAATAAATCTTAAAAAAAAAAAAGATGACTGGATCAAGAAAATGTGGTATATATACAGAGTGGAATATTATGCAGTAATCCAAAAAGATAAACTCATGCTATTTGCAGCAACATGGATGGAGCTGGAAGGGATGATGCTCAGTGAAATAAGCCAGAAGGAAAAAGAAAAATATCAGATGGTCTCACTTTTAGGAGGAATATAGTGGAGCCAAATCTGGGATCAGGGGCAAAAATAGTAACAATAAAAAAGAAAACAAAGCAAAATTAACAGGCAACTATAAATCAGAGACATTCTGTAGGGATCAAAGTAGGGGTGGGAAGAGCACAGGGCACTGTGGCAATGGTCATGGGGGAACTGGTGGTGGGAATTCTATGGGGACTACACCTGAGAGAAGAAAGTAAACAATGTACAAAAATGAAAAATCATGTAAAAACGAAAGAGAAAGAGAGGAGAGAGAGAGGGAGAGAGAGAGAGAGAGAAAAGAAAGAGAAAAAAAGTCATGGCTGCAACACTGAGTGTGCTCTGAGAAGAGCCGAGGGTGAGACTGAGGTCCCTGCACACAGCACAGGATGCATTCTGCAAACAGTGAATACCTGGTGACCGCCCGTCTGAGGCTCAGCTGCTCTTTGGCCTCCAGCCTAAGCGAGGGTTCGTCAAGGTGACAGCCCGTCTTCCCCTCAGAGTGACATTATGGCCTCTTTAGGAAATACCACAGCCTTACATAGGTTACATGCTGGTATTTCACTAATTCTAAGATGTACCCCCATTTTATTTTTACTTTTTATTTAAAATTTTTTTAAAGATTTATTTATGGAGGGCAGGTCAATATGGCAGCGAGGAGACGCTGCGAGTGAGATCTCCCATTAAAAAAAAAGTTAATAGGGAGGAAAACCGGCAGGTCCCAGTGAGAACTGGGACAGGGAAGATAAACGGACGACTCCAGCAAACTACCTGAAGAAGAAAGTGGCCATAAAAGAGGACTAGAAGGGAGGAAAGCGCAGAACCCTGCTACCCTCCCCCACCCACAAAGTCGGCACTCTGCAACCAACAGAAAGGAGGAAAAAAAACAAGCTAAAACGACCAACAAGAACAAACTACGCATCAAGTGGGACTGTGAGTGGAAAGGAACTATTTCAGCCACCACACCCCATGAACTGGAGCTGTGGAGAACCCTGCAGGATTCACTGCTGTGGTGAGCGAACGGCTCCAGGCGCCATTAGAGAACAACAGAGACTCTGGAGACCCGCACACAGCCCCGGGCCGACCGGTAAGCTTGCGCGGAAAAGCGGCGCACTTGAAAAGCAAATGCAGATTGGGATCGCGGCTGCCCAGGTCCCGCGCCTGCGACCTAGGCTTGCGGGGAGACACGCAGGGGCCCTCACTGAGGTGAAAGTCCCTCACTGAGTAATCAGGAACCAGTCGCCCAGGCATGGGAGCGGGGTGCAAAAGGCGCCATTTCTGCAGTCATTGAACTAGGCTACAGCCCGCGTCCTGGACCTGAGGGCTTTGGTACTCAGACCCGGGGCACGAAATTCGGGGTGTGGGTTCTCTACGACGGTGGGGCACAAAGCAGACACAGCACCCCAAAGCCATTGAGGTTTACCCTACCATTCCCGCTCTGTTCCCTGTCCCACGGGGTGAAAAAAAACAGCTCCCCAAGGACATTAGGAGAGATCTCTGGCGCCACCTAGTGACCAGAAAAAAAGTCACTAACACCCCATAGAACAGGGACCTTTCTTCAGAAAAGACTGCTTGAAAATGGAAGAAGGCTCCTGGAGGAGCCAGTGGCCAAGTGGGAAGTTAGCTCATGCCAGGCCCCTTCCGATCAGCAGTCTGAGCCCACAGCGGGAGCGGGAACCCATGGCCGGGGCAGACCGGGCGCACAGAAGAGTGTGCCTGAGACCGGATGCGCAGGGAGTGCGTCCCCGCATCACCATTTTAGAACAGGGACATTTCTTCGGTAAAGACTGCCTGAAACCAGCAGAAAGCTCCCTCAGGAGCCAGAGGTGAGCGGGGAAGTTCGCCCACACCAGGCCCCTTCTGGACTGCAGTCCAAGCCCAGAGGGGGAAAGGGAACCCACCGCCGGGGCAGACCAGGCGCACATGGGAGTGTGTCCCCACATCAGCATTTTAGAACAGGGACCTTTCTTCAGTAAAGACTGCTTGAAACCGACAGATGGCTCCTGGAGGAGCCAGAGGGAAGCGGAGAAGTTTACCCAAGATGCCGGCCAGTCCCAGCAACACAGTGTCCCAATGCATACAACAAATTAGAAAACAGACAGTAGGGAGCAGAAGAACCACACGCAACCTAACAACTCCTCAGGAAAAAAGCACACCACAAAAAGAAAACCACCCCCCAGATTGCAACGACAGTAACTTGGAAGAACTTCTGAGGCTTCCAGAAAGAGAATTTAAAATTGCCATGATTAAAAAAGTGACAGAACTCATAAAGGAAAACATGATATGAGAAAAATAATAAACGGTCAGAAGAATGAAATTGAGTCCCTAAAGGGGGAAGCAAAAGAAACGCAGGAGATCAAAGAATTAATGGAGGAACTAAAGAACTCTGGGAAAAGCAATGAAAGCAGAATAGATGAAATGGAAAACGAATAAGTACACTTGAAGACACAGAAATATAAAGAACCAAAAAAGAAAAGGAAAGAGAAGTACGAAGGAAAAAGACCGAAGAAAGACGTCAGGAACTATCTGACTCCATGAGGAAAGGAAATATAAGAGTTATAGGAATACCAGAAGGAGAGGAGAGAGATGTAGGAAAGAGAAAATATTCAAAGAGATAATAGAAGAGAACTTCCCAAATGTGAAGAAGGAGCTGAAAATTGATATACAAGAAGCAAGAAGAACACCAAACTTCCACGACAAAAGGAAAAATACAGCAAGACACATAATAGTAAAGCTCCCAAGAATCCAGGACAGGGAAAAAATAATGAAGCTGACAAGAGGGAAGAAACAGATAGCATTCAAAGGAAAACCAATCAGGCTGACATCAGACTTCTCTGAAGAAACACTCCGGGCAAGGAGAGAGTGGAGGGACATAGTCAACAGACTCCAAGAAAATAGATGCCAACCAAGAATACTCTATACCACAAAGCTCTCCTTCCTCTATGAAGAAAGAATAAGGACCTTCCCAGACAAACAGAAACTCTGGAATTTCATTACAACTAAACCCCCACTCCAAAAACTACTACAAGGAATCCTAAAGCCAGAACCTCAGAGGGACGAATAACAACGAAAGAAGGCCAAAAAAAAAAAAAAGTTATTAAAAGAATAAATAAATAAAATCAAAGGAAAGACAAACACAATGGCAAATACAGATGCTAACATATCAATATTAACTCTAAATGTAAATGGACTAAATTCTTCAATAAAAAGACACAGAGTTGCAGCCTGGATTAAGAAACAAAACCCAACCTTTTGCTGTCTCCAGGAAACACATTTAGCTACAAAAGATAAAAACAGACTCAAAGTTAAAGGATGGAAAACAATCCTACAAGCAAATGGACCAAAAAAGAAAGCAGGAACAGCTATACTTATATCAGATAAAACAGATTTCAAACACAAAAAGATAAAAAGAGCCCCCAACGGCCACTACATTATGATCAAGGGGACAATACTTCAAGAAGAAATAACACTCATTAACTAACCAAACGAAGGAGCACCAAAACATATCAGACAACTGTTGTCCTCTCTGAAAACAGACATCAGAGAAAACATGTACGTAGTGGGAGACTTCAATACACCACTATCAACAAGGATAGATCAACAAGACAAAAAATAAGTAAAGAAACTAAAGCTCTAAATAAGGACCTAGAGCATTTGGGCTTGACAGACATCTATAGAACACTAAACCCCAAAAAAATCTGAGTACACATTTTTCTCAAGCGCACACGGATCATTCTCCAGGATCAATCACATACTGGGACACAAGACAAACATTAACAGATACACCAAGATTGAAATCATACCAACCATCTTTTCTGACCATGAAGGCATCAAACTAGAAATAAACCATAAATAGAAAGCAAGGAACTCTCCTACCTCATGGAGATTAAAAACCACACTACTGGAAGACCACTGGACTAATGAGGAGACCAAAGAAGAAATTAAAAAGTTCTTTGAATTGAATGACAAGGAGGACACCAATTTCCTAAATGTATGGGATGCAGCAAAAGCAGTAATAAGAGGAAAATATATAGCAATAGAAGCTCATATCAAGAAACAAGAAAGAACTCAAAGAAACAACCTAATCTCGAAGCTCAAAGATCTAGAAAAAGAACAACAAAAAAACCCCAAAACCAGTAGAAGAAAAGAAATAATAAAAACCAAAGCAGAAATAAATGAAATTGAAACTAAAAAAACAATCCAAAAGATCAATGAAACCAAGAGCTGGTTCTTCGAAAAAATCAATAAAATAGACAAATCCCTAGCCAGGCTCACAAAGGAAAAAAGGGAGAAAGCACAAATAAACAGGATCATAAATGAAAGAGGAGAAATCACAACAGAC